CTCACCGCAACCTCCGCCTCCTGGGTTCAGGCAATTCTCCTGCCTCAGCCTCCTGAGTAGCTGGGATTATAGGCACGCACCACCATGCCCAGCTAATTTTTTGTATTTTTAGTAGAAACGGGGTTTCACCATATTGACCAGGATGGTCTCGATCTCTTGACCTCGTGATCCACCCGCCTCAGCCTCCCAAAGTGCTGGGATTACAGGCTTGAGCCACCGCACCCGGCCTTGTGAGTCTTATTATTGACGAATCTATGCAGGGCCTAACACATAACAGGTGAGCAAGAAACCAGGGCAGGGGAGCCTGGAAAAAGCCAGGAGAGAAGCCTGGGAAAGGAAAGAAGGAGGTTGGGCTGAGCTGGTAGTGAGGTGAGGAGATAGCAGGGGGGTGCCCACCCCATTCCCCCAACCCTTCACCCACTCCACCACTCTGCTCACATCCAGGAAGCCAGAGAGCTCCGTCTGCAGCAGCTCTTTCAGCTCCTTCTTGCTCAGCTTGTACTTGTCCCCCTCTTTGCCCGAGTGGGCGTGGAACACGTTGATGAGGGTCTCCATCGCCGTCTCCAGCTCAGAGCCCATTGCGGCAGTGCACCTACCCAACCCCATCATGGAAATGAGCTGAGGACCAGGCCTCAGGTACCTGGGGTCTAGGTGAGGGGAGCCCTCAGGCCTGGCCCTGGGTGACAGCTCAAATAGCTGCGGGATTAGAGCCCTCCTGCAATTGATCTTTCCCTGAGATTTTACAATGTGAGGGAAACCCCAGCAGACCTAAATGCAGACCTGTTCCCCCTGTCCCTCAGTCTGTACCCCAGCCAGAGGGAAACAGGGTTGGGGCATGGAGAGAGCAGTTGGAGCTGGGCTGGCTCCAGAGGCTTGTGGTAGATGCCTGCGGTGGCTGCCCAGGCAGGGATTGAGGAGGGTGGGGCAGGAAGGGGTGGTCACAGGACTGGGCCATGCTTTCTCTGGCTCTATTTTTACCTTGGATCTTGCCTGCCTAGCATAGCTAAGCCCTGCTGTTGAGGGTGGTGGGCTGGGGTGTCCACTACAGCCTTGCCTCTGCTGCCCACCCCTAACAAAGGAGTCAGTCTGATCCCCCCCCCCCCCCCCGTCAGCCTGGTAGAGGGGGTGACAGCCCCAGTGGGTGGCCTAAGGCTTCTGGGGGAGGGAGGTCTCACTGACTCTGAGCTTCCTGTTAGCAGCTGGGGGCCCCTTTTGGTCCTTCAACTCTGTTATCTCCTGAACATGTCATTTTGACTTCTCTGAGGTATGCTCCCATAACCTCTGCAAAACTATCCTTTTCATCTAGTGGGTAGCAGGATGGGAGAGAAGTCTGTCTGAGCCTTTTCCCTGGAGCCAGGGTTCCCAGGGATGGGGAGAGGAGACCTGCAGGCATTGTCCCTGTGATTGCCCACTCCTGGTTGATTCAGGGACACTGAGAGCAGGGGGAGTGGGGCTGGTATGTGATGGGGGAGATAAAGGGCTGAGAGCATGCGGTCCTTTGAGTTCAAGGGGCCAGGAGAGAGTAGAAGAAAGGAGGGGTCTGTTGAGAGAGGAGCCCGCCAAACCAGGGGGCCTCTTTCCCTTGGCCCTGGGAGTCTGGCCCCCCACAGCCCCATGGGGGCAGCTCAGATGTCTGGGATCAGATGTCCCCATCCTTCCCCAGGACTAGGGGGCTAGACAATGGGCCCTGATCGAATGACATCCCAGTTTTTCAATGGGGCCCTTGTGAGTGTCATCTGAGCTCCGGACCTGAGAAGTGGTTGTCACAGAGACATGAGGGAGATGGAACCCAAGCCATAGCTGATGAGGGGATAAAGGGTGCTCGAGGGAGGGATGCTGGAGGCTTGATTACCCGCTGCATGCCAGAGGGGCAGCTGGAGGTCGCGTGGAGCCCTAGAGCAGCCTGGGATTTTATGTGGGGCCAGTTCTGAGAGGACTTGGGGGCAGGGCAGATGGGAAAACAAAGAGGAAAGAATTGGGGGAAAGGGGAGTCAAGACCTCTGGGCCAAAAAGGGGAGGAGGAGAAAGGGGAGGTCCTGCGGAGGCAGTGTGGAAAGGGGCACAGCACCCTACATCCCCCCTTCCCCATATCATGGGTGGCTCGCCCTGCCACCCCCAGACTCCTCAGGGACCTGAGCTCTTGTCAAGGCAGGGTGGGGGTGGCAGACACTAAGGCTGGCAGAGGGCAGAGGGGTGGGCGCAGAAACAGCTGTTGTATCTGCTCTCTTCTCACCCCACAGGAGGCGAGGTAGGGGAGTACAGGGGCCCTCCCCAACACCTGGGAGACAGAAGGGGGCTTGGCAGGGACTTGAGGGCTCCCTGGGGAGGGCCAGGTGGCCAGGAAGCTCAGGGTGGGTTCCCCACTGGCTTCCTCCTTTGCTGAGCTGCCAGTTCTCTCTCTGACCTTTGGTTCATTTGCCTCTCCTCCCACCTTCCAGACTCTGTCTCCCCCAAATCCCAAACTGCCCTCACCCTGACTGACTCCTGCCAGATCCTCAGTGCTCCACCGCGCTATGGTCCCCAGCTCTTCAGAGCCCTTCTGAAGACCCCTCTCCCCAAAGCTGGCAGGCCAGGGACCAGCCCAGTGGGGCAGGGTACTCACGGTCGGCCTGGGCCTGAGGTGGGAGCAGGTTCTGGACAGACGGCCGAGGCTGCAAATGTGGCTGTTGGAGCTGTGTGTGGAGACCTGTCTTCGGCCGTCCCTCCCCCGCTGACCCCCCCACCGACTCCACCCCTTCACAGGCGGACACCCTGTGGGGCAAGGGGCCAGGAGCTGACAGAGGCGCCCTCTGTCTCCTGGGCTGGAACAGGCGGCCCTTGTCTCTTTCCAGCCTTGCCTGGCCCGTTCCTTTCTCCCTGGGCAGCAGTGGATGGTGCAGGGGAAGAGGTGGGAAGGAGATCCTGGGAAGGAACTGGACATCTCACCCAAAGCTGGGCCCTGTAGCACCTGTGGCTGGCTGTGCTGGATGAGCTGGGGAAGGGGGGAATTCTGCTCAGGGGCTCTTAGTCTGCGGCTCCTCCATGCAACCTCACTGAGAGGACCCTCAATGAGTAACTTAGTCTTGGGAGCCTGAGACCCCACAGAGGGATTTCAATCCCAGACTCTTCAATGGAGGTCTCAACTTGGATCCCTCTCTGTGGGTGGGGCCTCAGCCTGGGGTTCTCTGAGGGATCTTGGTCTGTAGCATCCTTTGTGGGTCTCATTTTTTTTTTTTTTTGAGACTGAGTCTTACTCTGTCACCCAGGCTGGAGTGCAATGGCGCAATCTAGGCTCGCTGCAACCTCTGCCTCCTGGGTTCCAGTGGTTCTCCTGCCTCAACCTCCTGAGTAGCTGACATTACAGGCGTGCACCACCACACCCAGCTAATTTTTGTATTTTTAGTAGAGAAAGGGTTTCATCATGTTGGTCAGGCTGGTCTGGAACTCCTGACTTCAGATGATACGCCCGCCTCGGCCTCATAAAGTGCTGGGGTTACAGGCGTGAGCCACTGCGCCCCGTCTGTGGGGTCTCATTTTAAGGGGCCAACATGTGTATCTCAGATTGGGCCTCCAAATGTTGAGGTCCCTCAATTGGTTGCCTCCCCCTTCCGCCGCTCAGCATACACACTCCTGATTAGATGTGGGGTGTGGTGGCAGCAGCCCCGAATATTGAGAGGAGTTGGACTCTGGGACCCCTGCTGAACATTTGTCCAGGCAGCTCTTCTCCCTGACCAAGTGGGGGCGCTTGTGTGGCTGGCAGGGAGCCCGGGTCCAGGCCTGAGGGTTCAGGACGAGAGGCGTGATTGGGCGGTCTCTGCTCTTCAGGATCCACCACGGAAATTTGACACCTCCGGGCTTGGAAGCTGCTCTCTCCTCTTTCCCCTGCTGCTTATAAACCTCAGCCCTGAGGCTCCAGCTCGCTGCACCCCATCTCTTTGCCCGGTGAGTCTCTTGACGGACCCTGGAGGGAGCCTGGAGATCATTTTTAATTCCTGGGCTCCCAGGTCCCTCCCCCAGGGCCAGCTCAGGCAGGAATTCAGGAAGCAGCTTCGGGTGATCGAACAACAGTGCGTGCAGGAGTGCGTGGCGGGGTGGACGGGTGGACGGAAATGAGAGTGCCTCCCTCCTGCTCCACCCACTGCACCCCCGGGGGCTGTAAGTGCCTGTACTAAACCCGTCCTGGGGCAGGGAGTCAGAGGCGCCCCATTCCAGGACCTTTGTCCCCGGGAGACAGGAGCGGGGAGTACCTGTGGGGTCCTGGGCTCAGCACTCTGCCCTGCTGCCCCTGAGGAGAGGTGAGGGTGGAGCAGGGCAGAGAAAATGCCAGCTCTGATCACAGCGGGACGTTTGCCAGACCCTGTGCTTCTCTGCTGGGAAGAGCAGCGCTGAGTGTGTGTGGGCGGATGCGGGCTCAGGAGACCAGGGCCCAACATAAACAAGTTTTGGAGACAAACAACCTCATGACGGTGTGAGGCTGGGTGAGACAAGAAGGGACTCTTGAGACAGACACCCCACAGAGGAGCCAACAGACTCAAAGGACTCCAAGAAGGACGCTCAGACTGAAAACCTCTCAGGTAAGGGGGGGTCTCCAGACCAAGGGATCACCACAGAGGGGTCCCTAAGCCACAGACACCTAAAAAGGACCCCAGACTGTGAGACCTACAGAAAAGGGGGTTTCTACCGAACCTCCTGCCCCCACCTAAACTGAGATGCTGTTGCCTGATCTGCTGCTTCAAGCTCAACCCCTGTTCTCTCCCGCTTTCCCCATAATGCCCCCTCCAGGCTGAGACCTGAGGTGGTAACACCAAGGCAGTGGCCTTCTGAACCATTCCTGCATCTAGGCCTCCCTGACTCTCCCCCTCTGCTCCTTCTCTGTTCCACAGCCCTGACAAAGGTCAGCCAGCCCCTGAGGACATCAGCTTCGGCCTTAGGGTCCTAATGGCAGCAGAACCACTGACAGAGCTGGAGCTGGCCATTGAGACCGTGGTCACCACCTTCTTCACCTTTGCGAAGCAGGAGGGCCAGAAGGGCAGCCTCAACACCGCTGAGTTTAAGGAGCTGGTTACCCAGCAGTTGCCCCATCTGCTCAAGGTAGGCAGAGGTCTGGGACTGAGATTTTGTGAGACCATGATTATGGGACACTGTGTTGAGCAGGTGATAGTGCTGAGTACGATGATGTGACCACAAGAAAGGGTGTGGGTGGTTGCATGTGTAAATGGTTTCAGGTTTTCTTTTTTTTTTTTTGAGACAGTCTCACTCTGTCGCCCAGGCAGAAGTGCAGTGGTGCGATCTTGGCTCACTGCAATCTCTGCCTCTGGGGCTCAAGCGATTCTCCTGCCTCAGCTTCCTGAGTAGCTGGGATTACAGGTGTGTGCCACCACACCCAATTTTTGTATTCTTAGTAGAGACAGGTTTTTACCATGTTGGCCAGGCTGGTCTCAAACTCCTGACCTCAAATGATCCACCTGCCTCGGCCTCCCAAAGTGCTGGGATTACAGGCACGAGCCACTGTGTCTGACCTGGTTGTGGGTTTTCTTGCCTGGTGTGTATGTGTGTGTGTTTGCGGGTGCATGCATGTAATTAGATAAGCAAAGATACTGTGTGTCAGTGGGAGTATGTGCTTGTATCAGATGATGCTGTTGGGTTCTCGTGTATACTCTGTGCCTTTCTGGTTTAATTTCCCCAAGACAGGACTGGACCCAGAGCTGGCTCCCAGGAGATTCACAGACCATCACAGCTAGAAGGACGCCAAGAGAAAACACAGTCCACATTTCTCACTTCACATATATGGCCCCTGTGCAAGGATGACACACAAATTTGTGAAGCGTTCCATATTAGAAAAAAAGAAAGAAAGAAAATATAGCCAAATTGATGGAGTCATAGACCTCAATGTAGGGGTCTACAGGATGCATCTGTGAGGACTCCCCACCTGCTATGGGCATCCCCTCAATAGGGTGTCTGACAGGGTCGTTCCTTCTCTGCCACTCACAGGCCGGAGTCAGGACTTAAATTTTATCGACTCTGGGCTGGAAGAGGCCTGGTCATTTTCCAGGCTGTTGGCAGTTTCTTTTCTTTTTTTTTTTTTTTTTTTTT